CTGAATGTAAGACAATCTGTAAAAAATGGTTTAATAAGATTGGAATATTGCATGACTGAAGAAAATATTGCTGATCACTTTACAAAAGCCCAAGGTGCAGTAAAACACAAAGAAAGTTGTGACAACTATGGTTTAAAGATGTAAATAGATATATATATATTATTATATTACCCAAAAGGGGAGAATGTTAGGAATAACATAGGTTACCTAACTTAGTTTGGGTAAAATAATATATATAGACTATGATTGTGTGTGTCACTTTAAATGCAAAGCAAATGTAATTTTGGGTGCGGCTGTAAATCGCCATAAGAGGGAGCAAGAGAATCTTGCTAGTTTACTGATTGCTGGTTTACTGGATTCCTTGCTGACGATGATGGATTGTTAACTGCGTGTTCTACTGCTGTTGCTGAAGGAAGAAAAGAGTTTTGACTTCTTCATATCTCTACTGCGAAGAGATATATTAATGGACTGAACTTAGTGTATGATATATGGACTGTTTGACTATGCATATAAATCTTACTGGAATAAACTATTTAACTAGCACTGTGTATCTGTTTTACTGAGTGTAAACTACAACAACGTTTATCTCATATATTTGCCTGCCTGCCTGACTGCCGTTGCACATTCTGCTAGGGTGTATATCCCTAACAAGGGCACACTGCACTTTATTTAATTATCCAAGGCTCTTATTATAGCTCTCTTCTCCAAAGACTTATCACCCTTTTTCCCCCTACATTTCAACACCAGACTCCAGCTGTTGATAGAAACCCAGAAGAGCACCTGCAATAATACTCTCTCATGCTCTTCCCTCTATCTTATCAAATAGCAATGTCCTTGAAAAAGAGTCTCAGTTCTTTCTTTCTCAGCTTTGTTTGGTCAGAGGGAAAAAAAATATTTTCAAGCCTCTAGTTGGCAGTGTTACAAAGTTTCTTCGCTCTCACTTTCCCCCTCCTTTCCGAGCAGGATATAGTGAAAGTTGATAGGAAGAAAAAAAAAGATATTTTTTTTAAAAAGTGAATTAACTAAAGGGAGGCTCTAGCCTAAAATATTACAAAGTCAAAAAGGAGAAGAAGAAAAAAAATAGATATGAACAAAAAAGCCAGTCCAGTTTCAAAATACAAGATCGTGTATAAAAAATCCAGCAATGAGAAAAAAACAAAACAAAATTATTTGTTTTTGAGCCCTGAAAAAAAGGCTAGGACATCTTTTCAGGGGTGACTTAATATCCTCCCCCACACGCACCCCCACCTAGAGCGCCCCATGCGCACTCACCTCTCCATGAGGCTGCTTCTATTGGCCGAAGGAAGCTCCCCAAAGGCAGAGTCATCAGCTGCTTCTATCGGCCGGTAGAAGAGGCCTCAGGGTGAGTGCCCACGCGCACTCCCCTCACCACGAAGCCTTTTCTATTGGCCAATGGAAGCTCCCCAAAGGCAGAGTCACCAGCCGCTTCTGTTGGCTGGTAGAAGCAGCCTTGGGACGAGGGGAGTGTCCGATAGAAGTGGCTGGTGACTCTGCCTTCGGGAAGCTTCCATTGGCTTCCTCCTGTCAGGAGCACCCCGCGGGCAGCCATGCCTCACCCCGAAGCAGCTGGTGACTCTGCCTTTGGGGAGCTTTCATCAGCCGATAGAAATGGCCTTGTGGCGAGGGGAGTGTGTGTGGGCACTCACCCTGAGGCCACTTCTACTGGCCGATAGAAGCGGCTGATGACTCTGCCTTTGGGGAGCTTCTATTGGCCGATGTTCTATCAGTAGTAGATCAGGCTATTCTAGCCTAGGCTACCTACAGGGCGCTCCTAAAGGCAAGTTTTCTCCCCCCCTTCCCCCCATTTCTCTTTACCTCGTGTACTTCCAAGGAATGATGTGAGAAATGGCAGGGAAATGCATGGATTAAATAGGCCTAAATTTTGGGGGCAGGACTTAATTTCACCTCATGCCTAGAAATCATGCTGGGCCTTCCTATTAGTGGAGGCCGTATTGTTGGAGAATCACGATACATCCTTTCATAAATTCTAATTTAATACAATCATTCTAAAGAATAGTTTCCCCCCTAAATTACCATTTCAAGTGTACCACCTCTAAGGTTTACATATTCATTAATTATCTCCCCTTTTAAATCCCATTAAACATTTAAACTTTTATTACCTGAAAAATTGAAATTAATAATCCCTTTAAAACTACATAGCATATATAAATCAGATTCTGCATGGTTTTCCCCTTCTTAATTTCATAAGACTTATTTAGAATTTCAAAAAAAAGTCATATTAATCTATTCATTTAATCCTGAACCCTGATGTTAATTCAATTTCAGCTCTCCTCCTATATCGTTTCAATTATTTCAATATATTTAATATACATATTCCGTTAATTATTCCATTCATCTTTATACATTTAATCAAAGGAGCCTGCATTCCAATACTAGAAAATATCTACTCCATTACAACCCTTCTCATATTTCATTTCGATTATTTCAATATATTTAGTAAACATATTCCATCAATTATTCCATTCATCTCTATAGATATGAGGAAAGAGCTTACATTCCAATACCAAAGAGTATCAGTTCTATTTTCCATCTTAATAATCTATATATCCATATTTCCTACAATATTCATAACTTTAAGTATATTTATGATACCCCCATCACCTTGCAGAATCCCCTTTTTGAATATTAATCAGCCATTTTCTCTGTGTCTTCTAAATAGACAATTTTTTTTTTATTTTTTTACAATTCCCATATTTCTTTGTTTCCAGATCCTGTTTCTTATCCCTTCTTTTCCCTTTCATTTTCCCCTTTATTCTTCCACTCCAGTTTTTATCCCCCTCCCTATTTATAGCTTCCTTCCACCCTTCAATTTTCTGCTGTTTCTTTTTATCTTTTTTAATTTGCAAATATTCCCCTTTTTATTTAACTTCTTACATCTCATATTTTTATTTCCCACTCTTTTCCTCCTTCTTTTCAGAATTTTTTTGTTTCTGATGATAGTTAAAAATGGCCTCTTCTGTAGTCAGCTCCACCTCCTCTTCCGTCTTTTGTCTTTGTTGTTCATATTCTGAAATCGCATTTTCCAAAAATTTTAAAGCAAAACCCAATGATTCACCTCATTCTTGTAATGTTTCTTTCATATTTCTAAGTTCCATTTTTAATTCCAGAAGAGATATCGTCAGTTTACACACATTTCTGTCTAATAGTTTAATCCAAGTAGTGTCTATGAGGTTAGTTTCCAACAATCAGCTTTTATTTTATTCCTCTCAAATTTTTAGTTCACAGCTACCGTGTTTCTCCAACAATTTGCCCCCCACAATAGGAAGGGCCAACATATTTTCTAGGCGTAATGTGAAATTAAGCCCCTCACCCAAAATTTAGGCCTATTTAAACCGTGCATTCCCCACCATTTCTCACATCGCTTGAACTATATGAGGTGAAGATAAATGGGGGGGAAGGGCGGGGGGGGAAACTTGCCTTTAGGATCCCCCCACAGATAGCCTCAGTGGGCAGATTCACCTCTATCAGCCAATAGAAGCAACCCACAGGCAGAATCGCCTCACCACGAGGCCGCTTCTATTGGCCGATAGAAGCGCCTCAAGGGCAGAGTCACCAGCCGCTTCTATCAGCCGATAGAAGCGCCCTCATGGAGCGCCCTGTGGGCAGCCATGCCTCACCACAAGGCCGCTTCTATTGGCCGATAGAAGTGCCTCGAGGGCAGAGTCACCAGCCACTTCTATCGGCCGACAGAAGCAGCCTCGTGGCAAGGCATGGCTACGCATCGGGTTCCCAACTGCAAACTCAACCACGCACATATACCATTGTCAGAGTAAATATCCCCCATTCCTAGATATTCCAGGACATTCAAAACCTTGAGAAGAAGGTAGGAGAAAGGTGGGCTGTTTAGTTCTCAGTTTTACAGACAGCAATCTCCACGTTCCCCCTCAAAGCACACTTTCCCCTTCAAAGACGCTAGTGGATGGCAAGGGGCACAAAGATCCCCCCCCCGATCTCCCTTTGAAACCAGTTGAAGCAATTGAGTAAACTGCGAGTTTCCTTAGTTGGCAGCCTAAGTGGAGGGGCCCAGAACTGCCCATTGCAGGTGATAGGTGGAATCAGCTTCTTTAGTGACCCTCCTGCGACCCATTCTGTCCAAGTGGTTGCAGTGGGAAACCGGGGGTGGGGGGAAATAGGGCTATCTGAGGGGACGAAGAAGAGCAGCTGGCTTGGGAAGCAGAAATGCAGCGGGAATCTTGAGATCGTCTGATATTTACTCTGACAACGGTATATGTACGCGATTGAGTTTGCAGTTGGGAACCTGATGTGTAGCCAATAGAAGCGGCTGGCGACTCTGCCCTCGGGATGCTTCTATCGGCTGACAGAAGCAGCCTCGTGGCGAGGTGGGTGCGTGTGGGGCACTCTAGGTGGGGGTGCGCATGGGGGGAGGAAATTAAGTCACCCCCCGAAAGACAGCCTAGCCGTTTTTTCGGGGCTCAAAAAAAAAAAAAAAGACCCAGCCTTATTTTGTGAGAAACACGGTAGTCCAATACCAAGTCCATGCCAAAATCAACAGTTAATCCCAGGGCAGAATCTTCATGCTTCTTTCTTTATTTCAATGTTTCAATTTTCCAAAGTTCTTGTTTTATTGTATCAATATTCCTTAGAGCTTTTAAGAAAGAGTCTTTAAAAAAAAAAACAAATTAAACTTAACCACTAGGTGGCACTCTTTATTATAACAAATCTTCACCTCCCTTTTTTTAAAAATTCATTTATTCAGAGCTTTTTTAAACCACAATCTTCCAAGAAAAAAATCAAATCCAATTGATATTAAGTTTTCCCTTTGACAGTCTCAAATTCAGCCTTATTAGTGCCTCTGTAACATCAGAGTATATTTATCCAAATTAGTTAAATGGTTTCTTCTTCCAGCTTCTACCTTTCTCGGTTCAAAGCCCCACTGCTGTCAAAAACAATTCACACCTCTTTTCTCCTTTCTCTTCCCCGCTTAAAATCCTTTCTTAAAGATTAGTCCTGGGGTACCTTCCATTTAATTATAGCATCCGGTTTCTGCTGCTGTCCGCTTCTTTCTCTTTCCTGCACAATCTTATTCCACTTAACTCTTCCCCTTCAGGGTGGCCATTTTAGACCACTGCTCCAGACGTCTTCGGGAGGGAGCATTTGCCAAGCCAGGGAAGGGATTTGCAACTCCCCTCTACCCGGCTGATGGTCTCCCCTTCCTCCGCCGCCCCTACAAGGCAGCTCCTGCCCCAGATCTAGCCGATCAGGGCTCTCCAACGAAGAAGCACGGACCAAAGCCACGGACGATCGCAGTCAGCAGTCTGTCTTTGGGGAAGTCCAAATCGAAAGCCCAAGGGCTGCTTTTCTTGCAGACATTTCATGACCCAACTCGATAACATCATAAGTGATGTCTGATGATGATGATGATGATGATGTTACTTAGTTTGGGTAAGGAAACGTCTACAAGAAAATAACCAAGCTCTAACCCCTTTAGTAGCCCCTGGATCTGGGGCAGCCTGCTGCAAGCGATGAATGAAGGCCAGGGGGCTCCCCGCCATGCCTGGGCATGCTTGTTCTAGCACAGTCAACACCCTCCCCCATCCCATTCTGTCTCTGGATTTTGGGAGTCCCCAGAACATCTGGAGGACACCGGATGGAGGAAGGTGATGGAGAGTCAGAGTCACTGAAGTGCACGGCAGATGTCCCACCTCCCTCTGGGTGCAGGTGAGGCAGGGAGATTCCCAGTCTGGCATGAATGACCTGGTCTGGGGAAGGGGAAGGGGTTTCCTGTGCTTGACCCACAGCCAGAGGGCTCTGCAGAACATGATCAGAGAACAAGATGGTGCTAAGGAGGAGATCGAAGCTCCAGCTGTTTCTCGGGTGCCACTCTGACCACACCTTCATGACCATCACCTTGCAGAACTCTTTGCCCAGAGCGTCTGCTATCAGAGCTGGGGAATGGCCTGAAGAACAGAGTGGGGGAAAGAGTTACAGTGGGTGGTCAAAAGCCGAGGAGACCTGCGCTGCCCCATGGTCCCACTTGGTCAGGGGCACCTTCTCGTGGGCATAGGCTTCCATCATTCAGACGAGGAGCATCTGCCCCTGAGACCTTGGCGGTCTGGGTTCTTCTTGGCTGCTTGTTGGTGAGGCTTCTGGGTGTCCTCTTCTTCCTCTCCATCTCGGTCCCATTCCTGCTCCTCTGAGGGAATTGTTGCACCCAAGGGCAGATTGGAAGCCACCTGAGGACTGTAAAGTTGAGGGTGGGGCAGCAATGGCTGCAGAGTGATCTTTCTCTGTGTGGTCCCTTCCAGACCACCTTGGACCAAACCCTCATCCTTTCCATCCCTGGTGGCCAACAGCCACAGTGAGAACTTGAGTCCCACAGAGGATCTGAAGCTGCTGGCTTCATGGCAAGTGTGCACACAATTCTCATGTAGGATCTGGAGCAGTCTTTGTACCCATCACCTGCTCTCCTGATCCCTTCAACCAGCAGTCTCAGGGACTGGATCCTGATGATCTACCACCGCAGCCAGTCAAACCTCTGGGATCAACCTTCCACTGTTGCTCAGACAGAAGTAAGGTAGCTGGGGAATCCTTCAACTTCCAGGATTCATCCGATCACTGGCAGATTGGCCAGAGGGAGGAGTGGCAGGGTGTGGAATGGCTTGGTGCTATGGCCACGGAGCTGTCCCGAGAGGAGTTGGGATCTTCTGGACTAGATGAGGCTCCGCTGGGCTGAGGTCCACCTCGGCCACTGTCAGAAGCCCTCCTGCAGAAAGGAGTTAGTGAGCCAAGACAATGAAAATGGATTTTTTCTCTGTACTAAATGTTGATCATATGAATATTCTTGTTGGGCATCTCATCCCTTCCACGTTGTCCTACTACAAATTAGGATTCAGACTCAGTATTTTCAAACTTCTGGGGGGCAACCAAGGCTGGAAGAACTTGAGCTGGTGGGTGCCAGGGGGATTTAAGCCCACTCCAAACAGGGAAGGAGCTGGGCACCCTGGGTTCTGGAACTCTAGAGAGTGGGTTCCTGCAGTATCTAGTCCAAAGGGAGTTATTGCTGGGGCCTCCCTGAGTTTCTCCTGTAGCTGGTTTGGGTCTACAGTTCTCTTGGGTGGCCAGCAGGAAGGAGAGCTGTGGTTCTTGCTTGCTTTGAAAGCCAAGGTGCACCATGAGTCTGTTCCCCTCCTTTTGTCCTCAGTGACCCCTCACCTCCCCAGCTGGCTCAGGAATGTGGTGGGACAGGAGCAGGAGGAGGGAGTGAAAGGGGGAGAAACAGTCAGCAGGTTCTTGTGAACATTAACTGTTGCCAGGTCAACAAACATTGAATCACTCCCTGGCAGGCCCAGGCTTCTTCCTGGTTTGATCACTCCAGGGTCTGAGCCCAGGACCGCCTCGAGACCCTCCCCAACCTCACAGGAAGAGTCAGTAGTCACTTAGAATCCTAGGGCTGGAAGGAACCTTGGAGGTCTTCTACTCCAACCCCTTGCCCAAGGTAGAGAGACCTTATACCATCCTACTCAGATGGTTCTCCAAGCTACTTCTGAAAACCTCCAGCGATGGAGCACCCATGACTTCTGGAGGCAAATTCTTCCACTGATTGTCCTCACTGTCAGGAAATTTCTCCCTATTTCTAGGTGTTCCTCTCCTTGATTCGTCTCCGTCCATTGTTTCTTCTCATGCCTTCAGGTGTTTTCGGAGACTAGCTTGACTCCCTTTTCATTGGGGCAGCCCCTCAAATGTTGGAAAGCTGCTGTTGGGTCACCCCCTAGTTCTGTTCATTGGGTTAGACATACCTCATTCCAAGGTGGGTTTCTGAATGTTTCATTACCAGCACAGGTAACAGTGGAATTTAGGGGAAAATATCCCCCAATCCGAGCCCCCATTGCTCCAGCATGCTTAATCCATTCCCTCCCATCTGGCTACTGTGGGGTCCTTGGTGCTCTCAGAGTTTGATGGTTTTGACTCTCACCAGACATGACCTCCCCCTCACAAGACCCTCACCTGATGTGACCTCACCTTACACGAGTTACTGACCACACAAGGCCCTTATAAACAGGAGAACACCAACACTGACCTCCCCTAAACTCCACTGAAGATGTTACCTAGCTTGGAAACAAAACATTTGGAAACCCACCCCCACGAGCTCGGAGAACGAAACTCCGCCCTCATCTTCCACCTGAGCTACAGATATTCACCACCATCACACACCTGGTTCCTTCCACCGTTCATCATACAGTTTAGCCTCCAGGCCAGTGGTGTATTCTACCTGTTTGGCCCAGTTCGGCCAAACCGGTAGCTCCAATTATCATCTGTGAGCCAACCAGTTTGCTCTGACAATCAGCTGCTGGGCCCTCCCACCTGCCCCAGCTATATACTGACCTTTATTTCCTGCTTTTCGACCTCAGCTGCTTCGCGCGGCACAGCCGATTGCCGGGCGTCAGCTGTTGAAGTCACAGGGAAAAGTGTAGGATTGCAGGAGAAGGTTAGTAGCAAACCCTCTGCGCGTGCATGATGCACACATTTGGTGGGTGGGTGTGCACGCAAAGTGCATGCGCAAAGCACGCCCACAGAAGAAGTGGTAAAAATTTTTGAAACCCACCAGTGTTCCAGGCCCCTGGTCATCTCTGCTGCTCTTCTCTGCACTCGTTTTTGACCAATGGCTGAGTTTGTGATGTCTCCATTGCGTGGGCTTCTTCAGTGTGGCATCTGTAGCTGTTTTGGGGGCTTTGCCACTGCTTCTCACTGCTTCGCGCTTGCAGAGAGGCAAGTAAATTTATTACGGCTGGAGTTTTCCTTCTCTCCTGCAACCTTAGTTCCCTTTTTTAGCTCTTGTTGAAGGATTTCCAGGTGGGCTGAAGCTGTCAGTCTGTGCCAGCAAAGCCAAGGATCCTGGGTACCTAATGCCTGGCACCCTTCCCAAGGGAGGATGATTGTGGCACAGGAGCTGCAGTAGCAAACATATGGATGGGGGAGTCAGCCCTGCTGAATTCAGTGGGGTTTATGCTTGGGAGACTGGAAGGAAACCTTGGGCAGCTTGCTCTCCATTGAACGCTGAGGTCCAAACCTCTCCAGGCTCCCTCCTGGTCACCATTCATTCTCTGCCCCCTCCTCTTTTTTCCATATGTGAAATGCTTTGTTACTGTCGTTTACAAAACACCCACTGAATCTTTTCCCCAAAGATCCCTTTAATTTGATTTGGATGGGCAGTGGATGGATGGATGGATGGATGGATGGATGGATGGATGGATGGATGG